GCCCCCGCAAGATGGAGGTTCCGTCAGAAACGCCAATCTTGGATCTTAAGTGCAAGAAAGGAGCCCGGGAGAGCGGTTTAGTGAGAGCATCCGCTAGTTGATCTTTAGTGTTGATATGATGAACTCGAAGAGTACCGGCAGCCACCTTTTCACGAACGAAATGATAATCTAAGGCCACATGCTTCATTCATGAATGATACACTGGATTAGCACACAAATACGTAGCACCGRTATTATCGCAATAAAGGAGAGGTGAGACCGGTATTGAGATACCAAGCTCTTTGAGAAGATTTTCGACCCATGCAAGTTCGGCGGCGGCATTTGCAAGCGCTTTATATTCAGCTTCGGTGGAGGAGCGCGAAACCGACTTTTGACGAGCAGACTTCCATGAGATAATATTGCCGCCGAGATAAATGACATAAGCAGTTGTGGAACGGCCAGCGGAGGACACACCCCCCCAATCAGAATCAGAGAAGGCAGTGAGCTCAAGAGGTGAGTGTTTGCGTAAGAAAAGCCCATGATAAATAGTTCCCTTGAGGTACCGTAGCAAGCGTTTGAGAGCCTGCCAATGTGTTTGAGTGGGTTGATGCATGAATTGAGACAGTTTATTTACCGCAAAGGAGATATCCGGACGAGTAAAGGCAAGATATTGCAGCGAACCTACAAKCTTTYGATATGGCRTCGGGTCAACTTTGGGTGTCCCGTCCTCGAGAGTTAACACCTGTGAGGAGCATAAAGGTGTCTGAACAACCTTTGCGCCATCCATTTTATGCATTGTTAGGAGATCATGGATGTGGCGGTGCTGCAAAAGGAATAAGCCATGCGTGGTGGGTATGAGTTCAACACCCAAAAAGTGACTAGGAGACCCTAAGTCTTTTAGAGAGAAGCGAGAGGAGAGGCGCTGAACAAAGGTATTGACAAACGCATCGTTGTTGCTTGTCAAGATTATGTCGTCGACATAGACTAAAAAATAASAAGTGAYCCCATCGYGATTGTAGATAAARAGCGAGGMATCCGCATGGGATTTRAGAAAACCAAACTCGACCAAGAAGGYGGTGAGAGCCATATACCAAGCACGTGGTGCTTGTTTGAGTCCGTATAGGGATCGACGGAGCTTGCACACGTGTGTCGGGAATTGTTGATTGACATACCCGGGAGGTTGTATCATAAAAACTTCCTCTTGCAAGTGCCCGTGTAAGAATGCATTGTTGACATCTAATTGGCGAGAGGACCAACCTCGAGATAAGGCTAGAGCAAGAACGGTGTGAATGGTAACCGGTTTTGTCACCGGGCTAAAAGTGTCGAAGTAATCCTTGCCGTATTCTTGCAAAAAACCTTTTGCAACAAGACGGGCCTTGTACTTAGCGATGCTCCCGTCGGGATGGCGTTTGACCCGGAAAACCCATTTGCACCCAATTGGTGGATGAGAGGTAGGAGCCACTAGTTCCCAAGTTTGATTTTGGAGTAGAGCGTTGTATTCAGCATCCATCGCTTTGTGCCAAAGTGGGTCTTTAATCGCTTGTAGGTGGGTAGTGGGTTCAAGGGAGTGCGGAATGGGATGAACGATGGTGGTATTAACAAACTGAGGATTGAAGTATTTAGGATTTGGCTTCCTGTTTCGAGGAGGCAAGGGAGGGGTGGACGTAGAGGTAGTGGATGACGGGGTTGTTGGGACGGGTGAATCAGGTTCGTTGGAGAGAGGGGAGTGAGAGCGGGTGGAGGTGGAAGGCGAGTGAGAAGGAGGGGACGGTGGGATAGGTGATTCAGTGAAGGGGTTAGAAGATGGAGGAGAGGCATTGGACGAAGCATGGGGGGTTGATGGAGTTGATGAAATGGGGGGTTGGGCAGAAGGTGACGAGGCAGTAGGATGGGGTGAGGTAGTAGAATGGGGGGAAGGGGAAATAGGGAGGGATTTAAGGAATGCATCAGTGGTGGGTAGAGGTAGTGGGTTGGGAAGGATCCCTTTGGAAGGAAATTCATTCTCAACAAATGAGACATGGCGAGAATGATAGAGACGATGTGTTGTAGGATCGAGACATTTGTAAGCGGATTTGGCCATAGAGTAACCAAGAAATATACACGGTTGGGATTTTGGTTGAAGTTTAGATGTAACATAC